CAAATTTGCCATATCTCCAACTCTAATTTAGTACGTTGTATGACGTACATTGTAAATTCCTATATCCTAATGATGGCAGTATATGCGTGTACGATGCCATCAGTAAAAAAGGGGTAGGTGTATATTATGTTATATATACTTATATCTTATATCTATATGTATGTATCATACATTTTTATATACTCGACTGATGGATATATCATAATTATCGTTGTTCTGTCTCGGCCTGGCCCTTTTAAAATATGGTTGGCAAAAACAAGCGATGTTTTCACCGCGTTATAATATAGATAATAATATCCGTATATTATACTTAAACCTTTGTCGGAAACGAGTCTAAACGCGTTTCTCGTCGGATAAAAATTAAAAATGTCTATTTTCACTCTATCCTGTTGGTAATTTTTCTCTAAAGACGATTTCAATCCACAGTTTTGTGCAGGACCATTTCACATTTTATTTTAAGTGCAATTAAATTCGTTTAATTTTTGTATTGCTAAAATGTGTCTATATAATATAAGAGTATTTTAAATAAATTACCAAAATGTTCAAATAAATATAAGATTATAAATTATAATACATACATATACTTTGTTTCTTAAAATAAAATTGTAAATAGGTACCATTTAAAAAACTTGTTATGATAACGTATTTTTATTATCTACTAAAGTTACAAACCTATGTAAGTGGTTTTTTATTTTTATGTTGGAAATAAAAATGATCATTTTTAGAAGATAACCAATGTAGTAGGTACCTACCTAGGTTTAATTGATTAGTTTTCACATTCTGAATTGTTGTAGGCATTTTATTATTATTTTCACATTTAAAGTACTTACTTGATTTATTTTAAAATAATTTTATAGTATCATTTATACGATTTATAATTTTACTAATGAGAACTATCAAGATCTTCATTAGGTTTTTTTCATTTTTATATTAATATTCGATCGTAGCCGTTCCCTTGCTCCGAACGATGTAGGTCATAACATGCCAACTGTGCGACAATATTGGTTTATCGTGTATTATTATTATATATACTATATAGGTACCTACATAATATAATAGGTACATTATGTGACTTGCGACTGTAGTGCGTGCAGCCCACTTGTGCATCGCCTCCCAACTATTCTCTGTATTATTATAACAATAATTACTGCTTGTCAACGACAATTGGGTTCGTCCTGTTAAAATCAACGACGGACTGTTCAGTATAATTAACCATAATCCGTAATAACACCATAATTTCTATGTAAAAAACCAAAGGAGATGTTTATTGACTTGAATCTGTGATGTTTAATTTATTCAGGTGAAAATTTCAATATTACTGAGGGAGGAAAAACTCAAAACTTAAAATGTATTAACATTTTATTACAATAGTGCATGTTTGTTTCCTTTTTACTACTTTGTAGGAGGAAGTTTGTTCAAATTTACATTACTAAATTACCTACATTACTAGATATAACTAGGTATAGCAAAATCTATAAAAAAAAATTTTAGCACTCTAACTTTTTATTTCATATTTTAATTTTAGGTAGGTACATTACACACACATAATACATTTTATTTTAGTGCATAATATTCTTTACTTATTTAACAATTTTTAAGTGTATAAAACCTTGATACAATCTTGACTACTATATAGCAATTACAATATTATATTATATTATCATCTATTCCATAATATTTGTTTCGGCGCAATAAGAATGATACTGCATACAGTAGTTTGTGAAGGAGATGGGTTCGGGTGTCATTTCTCTGCTGTCGTGACTTGTGACCTTAATCAATTCTACCCGTAGTCTAAAACGAGAATCGACGAGGTGAAGACCTTCGTGTTCGTAATATTAAACATATTTATACCTATATTATCATTTATCACATATTATACTCATCTCACATAGACCTTGTGCTTGTTGTTTTCTAGACCATCGTTGCTTCGTTTGTATGTTTTGCGTCTAGTGCGCGAATGAACAATATTTAGAAAATTTTATAGAATTACTTTCTACATATTTTAGTGTACTATCAGAATTTAAAAAAAAAATTAAACACGAGTACCCTCGGAATTACCTAAAAATTGGTAATCCGTGGACACTTTATATTATACATATTATTATTACGTATTAGGCGAGATGAGAATATTTTGTAAAAGGAGTCGACTGTCTTTACCTACTCATTCCTTCCACTAACTCAAGACGATCTCCTCTCCGGAAATGTTGAACTTTGTTAACTATATGTCAAAATTGGATATATCCCCTGTAATGATTCAATATTATATTTTTTTTATTCAATAAGTAGGTATACCACATCACGTTATATCTATGTCAATATTTAGCACCTACAGCATGTTTTATAGAACCTGAGCCAAGCAATGTATTGGCTCATCTTTTTTTTGTCTAATGTCACGTTTTGTAGCAAAATATTTGCTTTGATGATCTTCAATATTGAAGGTAGTTTCTGGTATCAAAATTCTAGGGATTTATTTTGGAAACGGTCAAAAGTAGTTACCTTTCAGTATTTTTCTTAATAATTGAGAAAAACTGTAGGAAAACAGGAATATTTTAAATTATCCATAGCACTGGCTAGTTAGTTAGGTCTTGAGTATAATCGTGTGATCATAATTTTTCTTGTCGTTTTGCTTTGCAAATCCTACCAACTACAATCGTAATTAGTTTTATATCTTTAGTAGCTCAGTTGTGTGTTTTCCCACGTCGACGTACTCGTCTGTCGTCCACCTAAAAAAACCATCGATTCGAATGACCTTGAAACTGTTTAAATGTAAGAAAATAATATATTTATTAGGTACCTGCTACAGTGTGTTGTTATCACACATTTTTATCGTTTCGGCATTATCGTTAATATACTATATATATTGTCAATTACCAATATAATATACTTTAGTATAGGTACTTTAGTTTGTATGAAACGTCAATCGGGAATACTGGAAACAAATATATTATTTTGTGTTGTTAGTAAAATAATATAATTATCGCAACTATCCCGAATAAACTTTATTCTATCTACTTACTACTAAATAACGACTCAGTTTTTAAAAGGCATGGAATATGCGCTAATAATCCTAATCTAATCGCTCTAACTAGGTATCAACATTAACCTACATTATAATATCATATATTATATATAATATACTCATAGCTTCTATTACGAAGAATTTAATATACAGAAGAATTATTTTTTAATGCAAATCTGCACTGTTGATTTTATTGATTTTAAAATTTGTCAAATAAAAAATTTATTAGGACCAAATTGTAATTGTAATCTGCGATAAAGACGCTTCCTCATATGAAAAAATATTTGCTATTAATTGTAGGGGGTAGTGGTGGTACTAGTCAAACACAACGCTGCACAACAATTTATAGTAGGTTGGTTACGAGACCACAATAATTGTTTTTACTCTCTGGACTACGAGTAAATCCTATTCTATACATATTTAGTCCAGGGTTCCGAATTTAATGCACAAAAAAACTATTGAAATACCCAAAAATATAGTACTTGGCGTACTTGGGTATATAAATTAATATAGTAATGTAGAATACATTTTGATCCAACTTAATTCTATCTAAAAGGTATAGCAACAATAGAAAAAACGCGAATGCTTTAAATTTGAAGCCCTGAATTTATAACCTGAGTTTAATAATAAAACAAACGACGTATAGGTTAGGATGTAAGGTTGTGCTCCGAGTTTCCGAAATTGCGTTTGTTTTTATTGTTCCTAAATAATATTTTCCCGGACGGGAGCCGACGTTGTGTTGGTTTGCCACGTTTTCATAATATCGTATTTCAAGTACTTAAGCGGATTGCGTTTAATTATTTATTTTCATTTTTTTATTCTCTCTCACTGCATTTTAGTGTACAACTATGAAAAGATCAGAAAATTATCAATTAAGCGCAGCTGTTGCATTAGGCGATATCAACGTCTACTAAACGTATTTTTAGAACTCTTATTTTATTTATGTATCTATAGGCTATAATGTATAATAGTATTATGCATGACGATTAGATTATCCACTCAATTTTCTCATTATATGAAACAACACGTTTTAAAACCATAAAAACAACTCATAAATTGTATGCCCTTTAGAATACATTATTATCATTATTAATTATAATTTTTAACTTAAACAAAATATTACTGCGTATAATCAGCGAACTTGATAATATATTACGTCATTCAGTAACATTAATCCGTTACATTGCATATAATGTTTATCGTTAATTATATTATTCGCATATTTCCTAAAGAAATACTTATAGACTATTTTAATGTATCAATGATTAATTTGGATCTATGGTTCCTGGATGTCTGTAATACATAATATGTATATAATGTTGTATACTTATATGCATGTAGTTAAGTTGTTGTTTGTATACTACAGTGGAACTTTCATATTACAGTCTCATGAGGCATAAAAAAAATCGTATTATAGGAAATTTTAAATAGTTAAATAGAATTGAATAAATTTTTTTCTACTTTGGTTTGGCTCTCAAAAATATTAAGTTCCACTGTATAAAATTTTTAATATATTATGACTATTTTATTGGGAGCCTAGTTCTTTGAAATTAATTTTTAAAATCTATAAAACAGTGTTTTGAAGAACAGATGTTTTCAAACAATCACTATGCCCATATATAAAATTATGTATACCTATAGTACACCACTAATATCCTGAAAATGTAGAAATTAACTAAGTAAAAAGTGAGTTGGATTCTACAGTAAAATATATGCTGTATTATATCATATATAGTATATATGTAACGAACCCTTTTAAATCTAGACCCTCGACTACAGGGTCCTGTCCTATAAGCAGGCCACACCATGACTAACTGACAGTAGGAAATACAGTGAGCTGCACCGTGTAAAATCTCGAGAAATAAAAGGCCTACAGCTCCTCCAAGTCGACATCTGCTTGGCTACCCATAATGGTCGTTGGCTTGGCGGTTTTCTTGTGAGATTTCGGAGCCACTCCGGCGATAAACTAATTCTATACGTGTTACTCGGCTGCAGTATAAACCGTATATGCCACATTGCCATCATACGAGTTTTCCGACGTCATACTAATAATGTACTCTTGTGTTTTGTCCTTTGCAGTGTCGACGCGGACGTAGCGGCGGAGGAACCTATCGCTGAAACGCCTGTCAACAGCAACGCACGTTTCAGGCGCATGAGCTGGATCGCCGGCACGTTCTACTTGATCGTCATGATCCTGTGGTCGGTCGACTGGCTGGAACCTCAGTGCTGTGACCTGCAGAACAACTACAAGTGGTCGTTCGCGCTGGGTCTCCGCTACATAAACGGACCGCCGCCGACGTGATTCTCGCGACACCGCAATGTCATGTCGCTCCTTCCGAATTGTTTTTTTTTTTTCATTTCTGTTTTTGTACATAACTTATACATATTTGTTATTTCAATATCGCCGTCAGATACGGGGACGATGACGGTTTGGTAATAAATCGTTTGAGAGGATAGTATAGTCTTCTATACTATATGTTTTCGCTCTCATCCGGTTCACTGTATCATGTCCTATCATCAAAATCAACAACATTCCTAACAATTATAATTTACCTTAACTATAATATATATATATTAAAGAAAACAAATATGTTTTTTTTTAAATTATTATTTTTATGTATATTTTGAATGATATATTATTACTATTATTATTGGATATCTTTTAGAACGAATATTTGCAATTAATGTACATCTTATAAACGCTTATTTATCATCATCATAATATATGTATAGCCTATTTTATCGAACGATGTCGACATTTCGTTCAATCGTTTCAATTCGTGTTTATATAGTTTATTTCGGTTTCTAATGCAGACCATTGGGGTACTATTTTGTTTGCTGCGGCGAACGGTTGCTCTTACTTTGTATTGATGTTTTTTTTAAGTATAAAAAGTTGTGAAACATGTTTGTATTATATAATATATATATATTCCAAATTTCAATGTTACACACTCGATAGAACTATCAAGTCAAAACATTTTATTCTGCAGGTTTTTAGTCGCGTGTTAAGGCACACTCCATTTTTCAATCAATCTTGTCATCACTATATAAGTATGTCAGGATTGTGTAGTTTTCCAAATGTTATTTTTTTTTAATTACCATTATCATAGTTATCCATTGTTTTTTTTTTTTTTTTTTTATATACACCGCATGTTACCAGTTTAATTTTAACATTATATAATATACAGAGTACAAAAGTTTTAAAACCTAATTATAATAATATTCTTGTCGAGACGAGAACGTTTGTTTTACCCCGATTTCATTTGTATAAAATAGTAATATAATATTATAATATATTTATATGTCTTCCACAACGCGGATCGACGCATAATCGTTTCTGTCGTATAATTTGAAATACATACTATATGTAAGATGTAACACAATAATTCGATGACAATCTAATTCAGTGATCATTTTTTTTCTTAGACGTAAGTTTACGATTAAAGAATCAAGTCGAATATATTATATAATATTGTAAATATTTATTAGACACGAACAAGAATATTATTTCATAGTATTTATATAATATTATGTATAATATAATACTCGTGTGTAGTTAATATTATTTATTATATAGTTAAAAACCGGGTAAATATTACAATATTTTATATGTGCTCTCGTGTAAAACCATAACTTGGTCATCTCTGATGTCTGTTTTATGATAATTATTATTCACTCTTTCTACTCCCACAATATATAAATATATATATTATATATTTATATTATTATTTATCGATGGCGATAATTTTATCTCAATTTTTTACGATTTGTCTAGTCTCATTATTTTAATTTTTTGTTATGTTATATATATTTATATACCTCGTTACAACAACGTTCGTCCGTCTGGATGGACACCAATCAAGTATAGGTACAGCACATTGATTAAATATGATATAATATGTAAAATTGAAATATATTATATTTAATCAATGTACCTACCACATTAAACCTCTGTGTAACGTTTAGCCGAGATCTATTGTAATAATACAATCTGTGACTACATTGGAATTGCAAATATATATTAAATAATATATTTGTGGCTGCAGATACCATTTATGAATGGATATTTTTTAATGTATAAACCTAAGTTTTTTCTATAATGTAATAAGGTATACTGCATTTTTTTAGTCGCTCTCTGTAGCGACGGTAACATAAAATAATATTATTTGTAACTGAATTTATTATTATTAATTGTATTTTCGATTAATATTATAATAATAATAATTGTTTGACTAATTTATTATTATTATTATTATTATTATTACTTATTTTCGTTAAGCGTAAATCAAGTATATAATATAATATTATATATAATAATAATAATAATATTATATAAGTATAGTCGTGACGTTGTTGTTGTGACGCGTGTCGGTTGTCCGTAATACTTGTACTTAAAAATAAATAAATAATGATATCAAAATCGTTTTGCATAATATATGAACACTGCAACGATATTGGCGTTTGAGTAAAGGGGTTTTTTTTAATGTAATATGTAATTAATCTTTATTCAATAAAATAAAGCAATTTATTGTATTACACAAACATTACTGCCGTATTTTTTTATTTTTTTTTTTGTCAGTAACTTGAATCAAGTCCAAAGACTGGTGGTTTCAGTCCTGATCAGTATATAATATATTGATTGAGAATACTTTGTATTATGTATGAAATTAATTTGCTTATTTTTGTCAAATGTATCATAGATGTCATAAAGCCATTAAGGCGCATCTCATAGATACCCATGTATTTAATCACCATTGGTCGTTGATTGTTTTTTTTTTTTAATGATTTAAAGCAACATCACATTTACTAGAACTAATTAATTCATACACCTAACCACATTATTAACCTATTGGCTCTACGCCCTTTATTTTATATTATTACGAACTACACGATAAAAGTATCTGATTAACTATAATATATGGGTATAATATTATTAAATACACGTTTCACACTTTTTAATATTATAAATTTCGTGTGGTCACGTGACTTCTTTAAATACCTATATAACCGAGTGTTTATTATTACATTATAATTTATTCTTGTAAATTATTTTATGTTGATAAAAATCTGGTAATTATTATTAATAAATAATTAGGTATGTGTTTTTGTCGAGTAGGTATGAGTGTATGAGGGACTTTTACCGTTGGTCAGTTGACTAAGAAATACTGTTGAATTATACACAGCTGTTCAACATGTAAATAAAAAAAAAATATTAATATTACTACATAGTTCACGAAAACGATATATCGTGTAAGTATTCCATTGCAATTAGTGCGCAAGAATTCCCTTCGTACCAGCTCGACCATTTGACGTTGCAAGAAGTCGGTATTCCCATAAAAATGACCCATATTCAAGATTACGAATGACACGATTTAGGATTGTAGGTATTCGTAATCAATGGTATTATGTTCGGAGGCCATCATTTCATAAAACAATATTGAGAAGTAGGTATAGTTTATTATCATATAATATAATTTATTGCTAAATAACATAAAATATTTGTTTTATAACAATCACACAAAGACAAAGTATACAATATAGGTATTGTCCATTTCATGAAATGTGGATGTGACATATTATATAATGTTTAATGTATGAAATAATAAATGTCTAATGCGTTTTGATAATCATGATGAGTACTTTGTTTAGTACATTCGATAAATCTCTTTCAATAGCTATAATAGCCAATAGGTTAACTTAGAGAATCGATTTGGTTGGTGGGTACTTACCTAACATAAGTTTACCTTATTATTCATGCATGTTCTTTCACTAGATGCGGAACTTGTTGGGACAGAATATCGAAAGAAAATAAATGTAGCATTTTATATACATTTGGAAAGATAGATTTTTGAGCAATACTTTTCAGCCGCTTTAAATTCCCCCAATGATTGTTAAATGATAATAACATGAATGCGGGTTAATCCAAAACCCAACATAAATTACACCATTAAAAATATGTTTCTAAAATTAATAAACGGTTGGTTTTTTCGATATTATAAAAAATGGTTCCGGGACATTTGCGGTCGGCACCTTTTGCGTGCCATTATTTGAGGTCAATTTATTTTTATCTACCTGACTATAAGATTTGGGTGCTATATAATATTTTATATACTATATATACTTAATTTATGTTAATAGGTTTAATATTATAATACTTTTTTACTATAATCGATATAGTTATATACTTGTCAAATATATTATATTTAAACTTCCCTTCACACTTTTTTAAATCATTATCTAATTCATAGACTACTAATGTTTTTCTAATTCTTTCGTCTAATTGTATGTACATTTTTTTTCTCCTTTTGCCTTCCATAGTCTGATAGTCAAGAAGCTTCTTTCATATAAAAGTTCCGCATTTTCAGTCTATTTTTTAAGACAGCTACCTATATAAGTTCATAAACGTTGGTCTCGGTGTATTTAATATTTTATTAAGTTTACTATTCCAACCCTCAATAATATTATTGGTTCTGTGTCTTCTTTTATGACAGTTCCACATTCCCCTTGAAATAATTGGATTTTCCAACCACTGTTCAATAAAATAAGTTTATCATTATCGGGTGTGTTACTCATTGTAATATTCCAACCTTCACCTATGTGACTAATTGGAATATGAGCTAAAGCAGAACACAATGAACACATTCTAACGTGTAATCGAATATCTGCATTATTTTTATCAGGGCTTAAAACCGTTTCCAAAATTATAGGTAATCGGCTCCGTTAGGAGCCGAAATTTTTTTAAGAACCGGTTACCAGTTATCTTGTTCTGAGAAGTGCCGTTTACCGGTTACCGGTTACCTTACACCACAATAAAAAAGTGATTACCAGTTACCGATTTTTAACGGTTTCCAAAATATTTAAATAACCGCTTACCAATTTTAAGCGGTTTAAATACCGCTTTTCACATCACATATTTTCATTTTTGTTATCAACTATGAATTATTTATTATGATGTGTTTACACTTTTCATTAAGTCGTTATATGAGTTACCGTATGAGCGCTGCTGTAACGCTTGGTCAGCAACTTTAAATTGTCATTTTTTAATTCATCACAACCTAGCGAACCAAACAGCGGTTCCATCATGTTAGAAACAAACCTCGGATGCATCATAGAATTACTGATAACACTTTATTGATATTGTTTGTAATCGAATATAAATGGTTATACTAGTATGATATCAAGACATTTGAAATGTGTGTTTTATTTTTCATCACAATCATATTCATACTGTCTTATCATATCTATCACGCTTACATCAGAGCTGAATTATTGAAGGCACGGCTATCTAAATATCTAAACCAACTTTTTTATCCACCTTGATAAATATTAAATATAGAAAAAAATATTTAAAATTAAAAAAAACGGTAAATATAA